GGGCTATGTCGGTTACTCTGGTTCTACTACGGATTTCCTTATTACGAATATTATCGCGCAGAGAAACCTCGATTATAGCTCGTTGAGCGACCTTAAGTTTCTTCATACGATCAACAGATTCATATGTCATCATTGATGTGGACTGGTGGTACACTGAACTTACCACAAAATTTGAAAATAAAAAGTAAAACATTTTTCTTAGATAAGTTTTATTATGTGATTATTTTTCTAAATTTTCAAGTCAACACAAGTTTTTATATCTGGTGTTGGATAAAGTCAAATGTGAGAATCAATTTCATATAATTCTCTTTTGACTACGATGTTTTCCAATTCGTCGCTTCTGCGTTGGAGATCTGTCTGCAAACTTATTCCCTTTCAGAACATTTCTATTTAATTTCTTTGTTTCGATAAGCTTGGGAGAGTTAAACTCACAATCCGGATCGTTTGGAGCCTTTCCAGTTTTTATATGATTAGTGTTTTCAAAATGAATGTGCTTACTGGATTTTATTTTGTTGCGGGCTATTAGTTTGAGGGCTTCAAACATATTTCGAGGTTCCTCAATTATATTATCATAAGTCTGCAGTTCTCTCTTGATTGTATTTAAAAAATCATTTTTGGCATTTTGTCTAGATTTAGGCATGTTAAAACTCTTGGACTGTTGTGTCAAATGTTTTTTCCTCTTTGGATAAATCAATGACTGTGTTTTTAAATTTTCTTTTTGTACAAATTTCGTATGTTTAAACCTCAGTACATTAGGAAGGTCTAAATCTAGAACATCATTGTTTTCCAGTATGTAAAATTTGTCAGTCGGATTATTGTTAAATTCGTAAGGATCCATATCATCAAATTCTTTAAATTTTATTTTTTTTGTAACTGTCTCTGATCTCGAAGTTAACCCATCCTGCTCCTGTTTTGAACTCGAAACACATTCGTGATCAGCTTTTGAATCGTTTGTACTAATTGTCGTGTCTACTAAATCAACACACAGATTATATAAATGTTCGTCGATTTTGTTATCCGAAACTAAGGTCTCTGGATCGTCTGCAGCTTTCCATTTCTTCTCCTTTCCCTTCATTCGTCCTTGTAAGACTTCAGCAGCGACACGATCCAAACCACTGCAAGCGCTTTTGCTTAAAATGTGTCTCATTGTATTGACATCATCATCTTGGACACCAGGTGGCAATTCTTTCTCATCAGAATTTCTAGAGTTCGTAGCACTGTGGTCCATATTGTTTCTGGACTTAAAAACGAAAACAAGATCCTCATAATTTTTCTGCATATTTAACGTTTTGGATTTGACTTTTTTGTCGCTTTTAGCCAAATTAATTTTATTGTAATTAATAAAATTGTTTTCTAACATCTGCTTTACTGGCTTTTTATTTCTACTGCGGTTGCAGTCTCGAAATCCTTTACTAGTTTTAATTACTTCATGTGTAACTAGATTTCGATTGCCAACGAATGAACTTGTTAAAATAGATGTAGAAAATTTACTTTGCCTTAAATTTAGTGGTGATGATATTCTTTGAATGTTCGGTTTGTAAACTGCAGCTTCTGTTAAAAAATTGCATAATTTTATATCATTATCTCGATTAGATAAGGCATGAAAAATTTAAAATGGCAGTAAAATTTTGTACAGATTAACAAAAATGAAAATAATAATATTCCAGACCGAATTTAGGTAACGTCAGCCATTTTCAATGAAGACTAGCTAACTGCGCAGAACAAAATTATAGTGCACGACTATATGCGCGAGCACAGATGCACTTTCTGTTCCTTCACTCTCGTAGTTCGATGGGACGGCAATCCAAGAGAAGCGGAAACAGATCAGGCTTAAAACCAACGACTTTACGTGCTTTCTGACTTTTGGGGGTGAAACACCCGAATCAATTTTATACTGCAGCTGAAAATTTCTTGACTTCTGTCGATTATCTAATCCCATTAACTGATTCTAGCCTGATAAGAGATTTCGACCTGGGACTACATTACCAATAGTCGCACTTACAATCACTAGATATCAATTAGAAATGATTGGTCATATTTTTGGTTATATTTTTCGTCCGTATAGTGGCGGCATTAGAGAATCCATAATACCATACCGTGGGTATCGTAAGAGGCGACATACTCGTAGGTAAACTAAAACAGGAGATGGGTAGCAGCCTCTGATAACAAATCAAAATTTTTAAAAATTGCGGTTGCCAAAATGTCTGCCTAGCGTGGCAACAATGGCAAAATAGAGATAGAGACAACATATGGGAGAGATCTTCGACCAAGAGGTCAATCGACGGATTCAACTCGGTTGGGCAACGATCGGGAGATTACGACACATCTCGTTAGATATACCTCAAAACCTGAAAACAAGATTTTACAACCAGTGCGTGTTGCCAGTGATGACTTGTGGATCTAAGACGTGGTCCTTGATTGCTGGCCGTATAAGGAAGCTCAAGTTCACTCACTGAGCTATAGAGAGGGCTATGTTCGGGGTTTCCTTGCATGAAAGACTTAAAAATGAGGATATCCGCAATAGAACCAGAGTAACTGACATAGCCCAATGGATTAGTAAGCTGACGTGGCAATGGGTCCCAAACCCATGGACAGAAAGGTTCTTGAGTGACGGCCTCGTACCGGTAGACGAAGTGTAGGGCGGCTCTCCACTAGATAGAGTGACGACCTAGTAAGTTATGCAGGAATTCAATGGAATTAGGTGGCTCAGGACCGTGCTTTGTGACATTCTTTGGGGGAGGCCTATGTTCTACAGTGGACTTGTGAAGGGCTGTAGTGATGATGAAAATTATGACGGGAATGTTCATCACTGGACCAACGGCTTTACGTGCTTTTCGAGACACGGGGGCGAAACATCACCCATTTCCTGACTCTGGGCTGCTCCCTTAACTCGGAATTTTTTGACAGAAAAGTTCAATAATTAACTGTTTTGGCTCGACCCGGGATTTGAACCCGGGACCATATGATCAGCAGTTGCGTTTACTACTCTAGACCAATGAGGCAGTCAATTATTTACTTAGTAGAGTATAATATCATTCAATAGCTAATAACAGAAAATTAATGACAAATAGTTTTTTCGAGCCGAACAAACATAGTAATCAGTAATCATTCAGTTTCATTCTAAATCCAAACTCATACGATACTAACCGTCACTAGTCAGTTTTGTTGGATTCTTTTCGACGTAAACTCCACGCCTTTTCGACATTAATTTGTTGGCAAGAGTTTTTTTCTGTTCTTTTGAATTAAACAAATAATCTGACTTAGTTACAATGCCGCTCCTTGGTGATTTGGATTTGTCGATATTGCTTTTGGATTTTGAATCCATTTTTAACTTAAACGGATAATTTACATTGTGAATTACTATGTAGTCAAAATTGAAATGCTGACATCGAGTAGGTTTACATAGTATATAGACAGTTATAGACAGCTGCCAGTAAAACGTAGTCATATCAAGGGTTATATATTGTACTCTTTGGTTTCCAATACATGTAATTTTATACTCTTTGACTACCAGAACCAAAGAAAATACAAAGTAGGTACCTACACTAAGGCTCTGTCCGCACTGCGATATTTCACCGCGCGACTTTTATTCTGGCGTATTATATTCCGTGATAGGAATTATACCTAGTACGCACTGCGAATAAAATTTCGTACGATTTTTGTTAGTTCGATGCAGTTCCCCGCTGAAACGCATGTCAAAAAATCAATAATAGATTTTTTTTAATTTACCTGATACTACGGCGGTGGCGTGATAGACGTATCAAAAGATGTTATGAACATTGGATTCACTAATTTACGGCCTTGAGACCTATGAAAGTATTTTTCTACATAAAAGATCAAAGGCTGAGAAAATACAGTAAAAGCTTTTCGGATATTACAGAATGACCATACTACCTATCAAGTTACGAATTGGACAAAAATAATTTTAGCTGGAGAAAGACGCGTGAATTTTATTCCGCAGTGTGGACATAGCTATACTTACTTTATACTGCAGAAAATCTTCGCGCGGAAATAAATCGCACCGCTTCGCGTTCAATTTGCATCAAATCACAGATTTTTTCCCCGCGCGATTTTTTTATCGCCAGTGCGTCTACTCCTATAAGATTTTATGTGTTACAAAATTTGCTAGAAAAAAATCGCGAGGTGAAATATCGCAGTGCGGACAGGGCCTTAAGTATATAGTCTTTATTCGTGCCACTGCTGTGCACATTCCTCTTCTCATTTCTAAGAGGGTTTAGGGCAAGTGGGTGAGCGTCACCCGGTAGTAAGTAGGTCCTTTTGGCCCTTAGTCCTTTAATGATTATTTAACAATTAAGACTTAAGATTCAAAATTCAGATATCTTGTCACCTCTGAGACCAAAGATGAACCTACTTCGTTACTAGTAAAAATACTCTTCGGTTCTTGTAACTCACTATACGAAACATATTTCACACTGGTATTTCGTGCGAGTGTAATCCTTCCCTGTTCAAGCCGACCCCTTCATGCTGCAGCCATGATACAGCCGCAGCGTGGCTCGACCAAGTATTTAGTTGAGAGCCTGTGTATTGGCGCGAAATTTACAAGTACGAGGCTGTCTATCTTAATCCTCAGCATGACATAAGGTCCAAGATAGATTTGTCGGCCTTATTATATTACTTACTACAAAAACTATTATAAGATATTAGCAACCCTACACCTCGTGGTATGGTGCTGCTTGCATTTCGCCGCTGAATGGCTATATTAGATTTAACTTACCTCTATACATATATTTATTCTATATGGGTCCTATTTTTCTCAAGGAAGCCAAAAAAATAAAAGCTTTTTTTACTTCCTGTTTTTACTTTATTTTGTAATATATTGAGTAATAAAGCCTTCGTACGTAGTAATTATAAACTCTTTGACCTCTATTTGACTTTCATCGTTAATTTTAATCGCGATGGCTGGATTTTGATAGCTGTCAAATTTGTCAATACTTACCACTTAAAATTTCAGTGAAATTAAAATATTTTACTAAATTATAATGTATAAGAAAACAGCAAAACCACAAGAGCAAATGGACAAAAAGATAGATACTAGACAAACAAAAGATAGAGGAGATAGTCCCAAAAAGACAAACGTTAATCTTGATAAACTAAACTTAGCTTCCACATACCACAACATCCTTAGCAAAAGCATCTTGTATGACAGAGGAGATTCTAAGAAATCAAAAAACGAAAATTCACATACGAAATATGATACATCTAAAGACAACAAGGCTGTGGAAGTAAATAACCCAGTGAAAGCAGTTACAAATATTACTCAAATAAATAACGAAATGTATGAGAGTATACCCCTAAACCAAAACAAAATTGTTACTGAAGATGTCAAACCAAAACTTTCTATAGGTTCGAAGACCTTCGAAAGGAAAATGTCTCGGGAGAAGAACATAATAGATAAAAAGCCACCATACCAAAAAACAAATCAAAAACCTGGTAAGGATGTTTATAAAATAAAAAAGACATAGCTAATATATCTTAGACACAAACCTCTTCTCAGTTCTGAGAGGTCTGAAACAGGCAGGAGTCCGCCCTGCTGCCCCAATGAATGTTGGCGATATACAACGTCCTCCAATTTACTTTTTTATTTTTTAAACGTGCCGGTTCTCTCGTGATAACTTCCTTTACGGCTGGGCACGTTGTGAAAAAGCACTCAAAATTAGACCGTGTTGTGTATAAATTATCCATCCTACAAACCATCAAAATAATGATCCAGAGGCTCTTTATTTCAATTTATTTCCAAATAGAAAAAACTTCTGAAAAATGACAACTAATTACAAAAACTACATTCTTTTTTCTTTGAAATGATGTGATTACATTTAACAAGATATAACAGGGCTCCTGTCTCAAGAAAAATAATTTATCTTTTAAATCTGAATAACTTTATGTTTTGTGGGATGAAAATTTTCTGTACAAAGCGGCCTAATCACAGTTAACAATTTCATCGAAATAGGTTTCCTCGCGTATGAATTTAATACAAACGCTTATCCACTGTGCTAACACTAATTGATGATCACCTCCGACGACACCCATGTGACAAAATGGCTTGCGATTGATTGATGGGTAGATCAAGCTATCAGTATCACGCTACAGCCCACTACAGGACAAAAATGTGTTACACAATATTAAAAACTAACTAACTACAAAAAAATGGTATCATTCTGTAAACAGTAGCAAATAACAAACAAAATGGTATCATTGTATAACAGCCACATTGTCCACAGCGAATAACGTAAATATTTATAAATTTCAGATCGCCTGGTTGATGTTGGTTTAAGGAAAGCCAAAATTAAGGAAGTAATTAAAATTCCTTATAAGCCATTAGAAGACACCGTAACTCAAGAAATAGAGGACGATTTAACGGTACAGGAAAAACAAATAATCAACTCCACCCCTTCAAAAAATAGTACAATGAAAATTTCAAAAGCGGTTTCATTTAAAGAACCTTTAAATATTTCTAATAGATTAGGGAACAGTCATATAAAGGCGACATCTTTGGACGCGAACTTCAAAAGACAAGTTGTAATTAACAAGACAAAAGTTCAGAATTCAGTGAAAACATCGAAACGTCGTCGAAAAAAGAAGAATAATTCTCCATCGTCCAACAAAATCGACATCAACGAATTCCCGCCTACGAAAGTTGCGCAATGGGCGCCATCTTGTTTAACCAGTCACACGCAACCTTATTATGAAGCGTGGGTAGATACAAATGTCACCGCAGTTTCGAGATGTTCCGAAAAGGAAAAATTGATGATCGAGAAAGAGTTAATTAAATCATTTCAAGAATCAAAGAGACCTGTAACTCCAGAAGGGGTGTACGGTAATTTTAATGATGAAAAGTTTATGGGAAGAATTATAATTAAACATAGACATCTTGGTGTGAAATCAAAGATGTCAAACCATTGTCCTAAATAAGTGAATATTGTTTTTTCGAAGTAGTAATGTTCTAAGAAATGATAAAGTTATATATATTGTGATTTTCAGATATTTGTATTTTACATATTATTCTTGGTGTTGTTCCGCTTACTCGATCAAATCAAAAAGAGCAAAATGTCTAGTACTGTAACGTAAATCCATCTGTCAAGTTTGATTTCGTGAAAAAATATATAAAACGAAATTTACGACACTAATAAAATAAATATTTAAAAAAAACAAAAATATGACTGCAAAGACAATTTAAAACAATATAATGCACTAAAAAGACCGAAAAATAAATTGTCTCTTTGCAGTCGGGTTTTTGTTTTTTTTTATTATTTATTTTATTACAGGCATTTTGGTGTCCCGACACACTTAGTGCCACCAACTTATCTGTTCAGTTGACAGAGTCGCTAGTGGAGTGTTTACTATTGCCATTTAAGAAATTTACCGAGGAAATAGGTGACTACATATTCATTGCACATAATGTAAAATAAAACAAATTTCGTGTTAATATATTAAAATTAGTGTTATTATATATATTTTATAAAAATAATTGTGGTTGTGATCTTGGAGTTCAAGCGGCAGTACTCCAGGAATTCCTGTTTCGAATGATGTACCCACGTTAGCTACTGGTGACAACAATTCATCTTCTGCGTCACTGAAATCTCTTTCACTATCGCTCTGTAACTCTGTAATAAAGGGTTCATCTAAATACGCGTCTTTTTGTCTGTATTCGTTTTAATTTTTTTTTCACTATATATCCACTCCACCAGTGTAATTTTATGGTCTGCATCTTCAATTGTTTGGAGCATGTGAACATTAGGTTTTCCAAAATTTTGTCTGCTACGTTCCTTTTCATAGAGCTCCATATCATTTCAATTGCGTTCAAGTCGCAATGATCAGGTGGCAATCTAAGAATATTATGGTCATGACTTTCATCAGGCTATCAATGCCATATTCCGGAGCAGGTTTATTTCTCTTTATTAACTCATATTTTTCATATTTCTATTTATTTCAGTATGGTAGGAATTTCTTTTCACACTGAATAAAATTCGTGAATTTTTCTTTATGTCCAATGTTAAAATTATCAATTTCTTGTTTCCCGGTTTATCTTTGCCTTTTTTGCCAGGGGCAGAAGTTTTATAATTGGATTCTTCAGCGTGTTTTACTTCATTGACGAGTTTGTATACAAATCGCTCAGAAACACCTGTAAGAAAACGACAAATAATTATTATATAGGTATAATTAAATAAATATAAGCCCGTAAATATGCCCTCACTAAAGCTACTTCCTAGACCAAAAACTACAAACCCTGGTATTTTAGATGGATGACAGTAAATTGACATAATTTTATGTTTCACGAGTACATTATTTGGTGAATTTAATATTCCATATCTGGCAATACTAACCTGTCGCAGCAGCAACGCGTTCATACAGCTTTTCAAATGGTATAATTGAGGCTTGTAAATGTTTCTCTTCTTTCATAGGACGTAAAACATTTAGGATAATCTGCTGCGTATCACTTTTAAGAGCTTTAGGGATTTTATTTGCACTTTTTAAGCTTAATGCTGTTATGTTTCGTATGGTGAGTGTAGAGAACCGGAGACACTTTTTAATGGATAAGAGGCATTCCATCTTAGTCCTCACGGCTGATATCGCATTTGCATTTTGATTCGCAAAGAGGATAGATATAGATTTCTATGGGCCACAGTAACCACTTACCACCAGGTGGACTGTGTGCTAGTTTGTGACATTTTTTGTTATTGATATATATATCCTATAAAAAAAGATATATATAGCAATGAAATAAGTGATTTTTGAGGTCGGATGTAGATGGTGGTAATATTCTAGGAATTATCGGGTTCAAGAAAGACTGTAACACCAGAGAGGGAATTTCAGATGCGTTGCCGGCCTTTTCTTGAAGGTCTCTAAGTCGTATCGGTCCGGAAAAATCGCTGATGGTAATGGATTTCACAAGGAAGTCGTGCGAGGTAGAAAACATCTTCTAAATCACACAGTGGTGGACCGCCAATCATCCAGATGGTGTGGATTGTATCTGGAGTTCTGCCGCGATGTGAGTTCGTGAAATTTGGCGGCTGGGATTAATCCGAACAATTCCCCAGAGCACTCCCCGTGGTAGATGAGAAAGAAAATGCAAAGGGATGCAACACCTTCGCAGTGCCAATGAATCGAGCCGATCGGAAAGGACTCGGTCGTCGACGATGCTCTGCTGCTCTGCGCTGGATGCGGTCAAGTGGAAGGAGCTGGCACTGGGGAGCCCCTGCCCAGAGATGGGAACAGTATTCCATGTGAGGCTGAACCTGCGCCTTGTAAAGTTGCAGGCGTTGAGCCGGCATGAAATACTGTCCCGCTCTGCTGAGGACGCCAAGCTTATGCTTAAGCTATATGGCAAAACAACGTTTACCGGGTCAGCTAGTAATCTATAAATAATAAAATCGTCGGTCTCTGTACAATGAAAATATTGGAAAAAAATGCATTCAGGGTAACTCGAGACCGGTAACAGAATGCATCGAAACCATTTTTAGAATTTTTATCTGTGTGTGTGTTTATCTGTCTGTCTGTCTGTTTGAACACGATAAACTCGAAAACTAAGGAACCGATTTATATTAAAATTGGTATGAAAAATGTATATCCTCCAATTTAACATATAGGAAGAAAAGCTTTAAGAAAATCCTTCTAAAAATTATAAACCAGGCGAAGACCTCTGATGCAGTAAAAAGTTAGTGTGTAAGAAATCCGCTTAGATCAAAGCGCGGGCGCTGACTTGTCGTTCTAAATTGTAACGTTGCGATTACACTGTCCTAAATTGTAGACAATTTAGAAAGTAGAGCGGTCGGGACCTCCAACTTTAACTAAATCGGATCCTATTTGTTCTAACTACGACTACATTTTCCAACTTCCTAATTAGATTTTCCAAAAATTGAATAATGTAATAAACGCTTTATTTTCACTATGATTAATTCAATTTGAGACTAAAATAAATGTGAAAGGGCTTTCTTTCTTCCCCCCGGACCTCGGTTGCGAGTAGACGTGTCAACTACGTTGCTGTGTTATTTCAAAATATTTTTTTAAATCTAATTTTTGCAAATAAATCAAGTTCAAAGAATAGGAGATCATAAATACTCGAGAGGTAGTGCAAGTTGACTAAACAGTGGGTGTTGAGTGAAGTGTACGGAGCATGCAATCCGTGTGTGCGTAAAATTTTGTCTTGACAGTGTATAAGTGCGTACAAACCGTACGTATGCACGAATTTTGACTTCTACGAATTCATGTAATTCTGGCACTTTTTGCTAATATTGGTCGTGAAAGATTTGACACTGTAGATGAGGTGAACAGGTTTTTAAGGACATTAGTAACTTCTGAATGCTTATGGAATTCTGGTAGTAGTTAGGTACTTGTTTTCACTGATTTCATTGACACATTAGAATCTTCTTAGTAGTTAGGTATCGACAAAATTAAAAAATAATAATAACAAGTTATCTGCCTCAAATTTATGAGATTCTAGTACATCCACCAAAACGCAAATTCTATCCTTCCAAACTATACTCATCTTGCAACAACACATCATATTAACCAGAATGATGGTGTGTAGTGATATATACATAATCCTTATTAAAAGCTAACATTACAGAAGTTGTATTAAAAGAGGCGTCATGCTTACAAGTAAATATTTTTATTGTGTTGTACTTGGTATATACGAATATCGCTCTCCATCCAATAGTAACGCGTCAAATTTTATAGATTCTCTAAATAACCATTTGTCAACTATAAATTCTGCTAATGTTACTATCACAGGTGACATAAATATAAATATAATTCCTAAATCTAATGAAAAATTATATGAATGCAATAACAGAATAAATTATTTATACATGTTGTCTACACACGGTTTATTAAATGGACATAATTTTCCTACTCGTGAAAATAGTTGCCTAGATCATATAATTATAAAATTAAATGGATCTAAAGTGTCAGCATTTATAGCAATTATTAACACAATAATTACTTATCATCTAAGTCTATTACTAATCCTATCAAAATGTAAACATAAATCTATACAGACTAAAACTAAATTAATAATAGATTACGAGAAAGCCTACAATGTTTTGCTTGAAATAAATTTAGAGAGTCTACTCTTGAGTGAATACCCTAACTTACTTATTGAACAGCTTACTCAAAAGTTAAAAGAATCAGTGTATGAGGCTAAAATTACTAAGTATCTTCCAAAAACTCAGCGAACTATAACGCCTTGGATCAGTACAGGTATTTTGCGATGTATAAGGAACAGAAACCAAATTCAGCTTAAACTAAGATCTGACCCAGATAATAATATTCTAAAAATAACATTTAAAAGATATCGTAATCATTGCAGCAATTTGATAAAAAAAAATAAAGAGAAAATACGAACGGGAACAACTTACTAAGGCCCTATTCAGTGCGACGCGGACCGTCCGCACGCGGATGAGGTTTTGCGTCCGTCGCGGATGAATTCGTCGTTCAGTGCGATGCGGATCGTGATCGATAGTGGTACAGTATCATGGATAAGACTTTGAATTTGGTGATTGCCGCCTATTTATTAAACAACAGAAGAAGAAGACGCCATGGTAGAAGATTTGATGTGCATCCACTGGTTGAGAAAAGACTTCTTAAAGGAGAATTTATATCCTTGTTTTCGGACTTGCGGCATGGCGAAATGAAATGCTTCAAATATTTCAAGATTTCCATTAGGACATTTGAGGAGTTGCATGCGAAAGTAGAGCCATCTTTAATGCGTTGCGATATATACAAGAAACCCATATGTTCGCGGGAGAGATTAGCTGTAACAATTAGGTTACAACGACAGTACTTTAAGTCCGCTCCGCGCGACTGTCCGCCGAGCACTGAACAAATACATTAGAACCAAGGACCGTCCGCCCGCGGACATCCGCGACGCGAAGGAGCGACGCGGAGCGATTTCGACCGCGCGCGGATGGCTC